ACCAGTTGCTCAAAATAGCAGAATACTAAAAGGGAGTTTCCAACAGGAATAGAGGCTGCCTTCTCTCATTTTACAGAGCAGTAAGCCAACACTCAGATCATCTAAGACTTATCTACGAGCAAGTCAGAGAGAAGGCTGTAACTGGGTGTCTCGTAAAACTGCAGGCCCTTACTTCAGCCATCCTGGCTGGGCAAGAATGATCAGTTACATTTTTAGAAAGAAGTTGACATGATCTGGGATACTTGTAACTCAAGGAAAAGCTCTTCAATAAAGAAACAGAGAGATGCAATAATGGTTTTGTAGTCCCTACTCAGCCCGTGGTCCCATCGATGACTCTTTTCAGGATAGGGATCTTCAGTGTTTTTCAACATGAAATTTTGTAGTTTTAGACTCAGAAATTTTTATCTCCTGGGCCAACAGCCTTGTTCCACTTCTTAGAAATAAAGACAGTCCTTTCATGCATGTCATTGTTGCATGAGGTTATGCCATATCTGCAGAACATTCCATCTGGAAGCTCCATGGCCCTCTGCTAAGGGGAGGCCCGTGCAGCTTCCCGTGTCCTGTCTCCTTAGTGGTCATCTTCTCTCCAGGAACACACTGTGGATCTCATGCTCTGCAGGGCTGTTTCTGACAAAGGCGCAATCGCTGCACCTTCAGCAGGCTAGGGAAGGCCCTGGGAACCCCACTTCCCAGTCCGAGAGTCTTGTGACAACATGTACGTGATGGCCTGGAGGCAAGGTGAGAATGGGGCCAGGAGTACAGAGAAGAGCAGTGGGACAGCCAGCTCACCAATGACAAGTTTGCCTTGAGCCCGCACTTGTTTCTAGTTGATACTTGTTTGTTGATATCTAAGTGTATAAAATATCTCTGGCTCTACTTTCAACTTGCCATAAACTTGAGATTATCCCAGAAAAGTATCCCCTCATTTTTTCTACAGTCCTAATAAAATACACTTCAAAGTCAGTTTTCCTTACTGTATCTATCAAGCTAGCATTTTGTGTGGTTGTTTCTATTAGGTCGTCAGTAAAGTCATGATGTATTTTTCTGTTTTTCTATGCAAAAATGCACCGTGACTTTTGCAATAACCCAATGGTCTTGCAGGCACTTATCTAGGAGGAAAAATAATATTCTCTATCTCTTTTTTTTTTTTCATGAAAGGTTCCTTGTGGCACTGAATATTACTGTCCATTTACTTATTCCCTTCTGTTTTATGTCTTAAGTGAAATTCTTTCTGCTCATATTTATTTATTTTTTAAGAGGGCACATGCATCCATCAGAGAGACAGAGAGACAGAGAGGGAATAAAGACCTCCCATTGCAGTACAGTCACACCGCAATCCCACCTCCTTGGTTTCTCCATTCTATTGGGATTTGGGGCATACACACATCCCCATACCTGATGTGTTTTTCAAGCCTCAGGCCTGGGATTTATATCATGGTCGACTATGTGGAGCTTTATTCCCTTAACTGCTGGCCACCAGGCTGGCCCTCTGCTCATTTTGATAATTTATTTATTTCAAAGTACAAACTTTCTTTCCATGCATACCAGAAAAAGATTACTATTGATAAAGCGTTGGTCAACACTACTTCTCATTAAGTTTTTATTTCCTTTCTAAGGACTGGGCAGGACCAGAGTGGCTGAGTTCACATAATATTTCAAAGTAGAAAAAAAAAATTCCCTGGTGTTATGCTGAGGCATAAGACTTCCTAACTGTGGGGCCAATAGGTGGTGTAGTGGGTAAGGTGTTGGACATCTGAAAGACTGGCTGTGGTTCAAGTCCTGGACCCGGTGCTTGAAAATCACTCCAGGTATGACCAAACTCCCAAGAGGAGAATGAAGGAGAAGTGAATGCAGCATGGCCATCCCCTCTGGGGGGATGATTTCTCACCTTCTCTCTCTGAATCTCTTTGTCTCTCTCCTCTCTGGTGAACATGAGTGTGAGTGCATATGCCCTATGACCAAAACCTACCACACACACACACACACACACACACACACACAAATCCTAACTGCATATGTAAAATTGAGTCTGTGCTCTTGAAATGCAAGTAAGACAGGGGTAAAGAATAGAAATACAAACACAAAAGGACACCCAGGTGACCTGTAATATGAGTCACTGTTCAGCCAGCGACTTTGCAAAAGAGTCACTGAGGCAAAAATGGCATAATTATGATGGTTACAAAAATACTTAGCAAACACATCAGTAGATTTTTGTCTCTTTTCTCCATAGCATTTGGAAGCATAGCATTAAATTTTCTCTAAATTAGTTTCCGGACTTCTGAGTGAAATCTCATTTGTAAGGACGTTTAAAGAAAATAAAAGTCTCTAATCTAATTAACTGCACATGCAATTCAACATTTCCCTTTTATTTACTATAAATTGTCTCAAGGCTTAAAAAAATCTGTATATGTCATGGGAACATAATTAGCCATCTGTGAAGCTCATAAATCCCAGCAAGATGTTTTGTCAAATGATCTCATCTTCCTCATGATCTCTTTATCCCGCCGACTTTGCTTGGTTTCTGCTTTCACTGAGTTGGGACTAAATCAGTATATTCCTCCCCCTGCATAATTTAGGACTGCCTTGAAACGATGGAATTACAAACCTCAATGGCAGATTGTGGCTTGCATTCACTGGCGTCCCTGCCATGAGCCTGGTTTTACCTTCGTCAGAACAGTGAGGTAAAGAAGTCCCGTTGCTAAGTTCTGCTCACTAAGTTCCGCTCCTATACGTGTGCTACAGATGATAGGCAGCCACTGGTGCTTGGAAGGGATCCAAAACTAGACATGGAACCTGGGAAAATGCCACTGTTTTGCAAATGTAAAGGAATATTTTAAGGGGAAAATTCTGTAGAACTGTGGATGAAAGAATTAGTATAGGATTTTAAAATTATGCAATGGCTAACTTAATTTATAAATGGGTACAGTCAGATCGATTGATCTTCCTTGGGGGAGAGAGTACTTTTTGGATAATAAACTGCTTTAATTCTGATTACTTTCTACAGGGTGAAATGAAATTGGGGGACCAGCAGTTAGCATAATGGCTATGTCGCTGGACTCCCATGTAGTCGATCGCGGTTCGCGTCCCTGACTTGGTGGCTTAAAACTCATGCCAGGCGCGTGTGCGTGCGTGCCCAAGATCCCGAGAGGAGAAAGGAGGAGAAGGGATTGCGGCCATCCTCCCAGGGGGTGATTTCTCGTTTTCTGTCTTTCTGTCTTTCTGTCTCTCTCTCTGTCTTTCTGGTGAGCATATGTGCCCTATAGCAAAAACCTCTCAAAAAAAATAAAAAAAAAAGAAAGAAAGAAAGAAAGAAATTACTTTATGGGCTGGCCCAGTAGTACAACAGTTAAGTGCAGTACATCGGAAGTCCATCTCACAAGGTCAAATGCGATTCAAATCCTAGCTCTGGGGGCTTGAAAAACATTCTGCCATGTGTCCTTGTGTGTGCATGCATGGCCCAAATCCTGATCAGATGACAAATGGAGGGAAAAAGACTGTGGCATGATCACACCCCATGAGGGGGGTGCTTTCTCTTGTTCTCTGGTGAGTGCGTATACCCACTGGAAACTGAAAAATAAATAAACTTAAAAAAAGAGAAACATCTTCTTAAAAAAAAAACTTATGAAGGTTTTCCAAAGCTTTATCTACCCACGTCTGCTGTGTGTATGTGTGTGTGTGTGTGTGTGTGTGTGTGTGTGTGTGTGTTTGATACAGAGAGAGGGGCAGAAAAGAGAGAGAGACAGAAAGCAAGAAATTACTCCCTGGGGAAGATGGCCACACCACAATCCTTCTTCTCCATTCTCCTCTCAGGATTTTGGGCATGCATGTACAAATGCCTGGCATGAGTTTAAGCCAACAGGTCTGGGATTTGAACCATAGTCAACTACGTGCGGGTCCAGCGACATAACCATTATGCCATCTGCTGATCCCCCCAATCTGTTGTGTTTGCTCCCATTGCTCTGACAACCCACAATCCCCTCCCTTACCCTGAACTGCTCAACTCTCTCCTCTTTGTCTGAATCTAAAGCTAGCAGGCCATTCAAAATTAATGTAAAGTTTTCCTCATCCAGGACAGCCTACCTCAATGAGACCTTGGTCAAACACTTAAGAATTGTAAATATATTTTGCAAAGACCTTTTCATGTTTAAAACAAACAAAATCTCACATATGGTCTCTTTCACTGTTAGGGTTTTACGAATTCCACTTATACAATTTCCTTGAGAGAAAGATCTTGGGTATGTGAATACTTATGTGTCAAATGGGTGATGCTTGATTTGCTGGTTTAAATTTATCTTAGCCATCTTCATCAAATGTGTTAAATTTCTTTACATAATCAATACGCTTTGCTATTTTATTAGTTACTAATTAGAGAAAAACAACAACAAAAAAGCCTTTCTATGTAAAGTGGGAAACTTCAATTAAATTCTAGCTTGTCATTACCTTGATCAACATAATTTCCCTGCTATGCATTTCTGGATGTTTAGAAATGAACTGAATTGCAGTGGGAAAAGATCCCAGTGCCTCCTAATGACTACAATAACTCTCCTGTAATTTGCTGAAAGTGAGTGGTATCCGTTTTCTCTTTTTCTTGAAGTTCATAGTAAAAGCAAACAGGTAGATTTTTGTTCAGAATCTTCAGGCTGGTAGTTGTAAAGGCTTTGAAACCAGATAAATGAATACTTCAGACTAAAGAAATAAGCTTTTGAGGCAAAGGGGTGGGGAAAAGCTGACTATACACAAACTATTAAGAGTTCGGTACATTTGTTGGAGTACTTCCAGGCCATTGTTGGTAAGTTTAACAATGGGTACAAAAAAGGGTGGATTACTAGCATCTCGACTCACTCTCTATGAAAATGCACCTAAATAAAAGGAAAATTCATGACTAACGAGTGGATCGTTCTCTCCCCTTCCTCGTATTTGGTTAGTAAACAGGGTAACTGGTTAACTGGTGCCAGTGCAGGCGATACTGGTTTCTAGTAACGTTTCCTTCCCTGCAGCTTTCCATAGGAGCTGCTATGCCCTGCGGCAAATGATTAACTGTCACCCTGGGCTTTGCATGCCTGCCGTGAAGTATGATCCCTTCGAATGGAAAAACCACAAAGTCACCTTAAGTCTTCCAGTGCAACGATTTTTAATAGTCCTCAGTAACATAGGCAGTACAGCTTTGTAATTCCACCTTACTGGAAATCCTGCCCTGCTGTAAAATGTTTCTATTTCAAGAATGCTTCTTCTCTCCCCACCTCTAAAGGTATACGTCTACAGAAGCGGCCCTAAGGTGCAGTTCCCAGGCGTTTAAAACAGCGTTGCGATTTGCTTTCCACAGGGTCCTCCATGAGAGCAGCCCTTGTCCCTGGAGGGGCTTCTGAGTTCACAAGTGATGTGGACCAGGGCCGAGTCCCCAGCATAGCCTTTTGAAAAAAGAATACTTTTCAGTGACAGATATCTTCCTGCATCACAAATAAATAGTTTTTGCGTCCTTGAGTCATGAAATATCGAAACTCAAAGACACTTCAGTTTCCAGAAAAAGATCATCGTGGTGGCCTCCTTGAGTGCTCTGAATTTGGTGGAAGACACCAAGGATGGGGGCGCACTAGAGTTCCCGGGTTTAGGACTGGAGGATGGGAGTCAGGGCGGGAGAGCCAGTCCCGGAGCCTTCGAGCTATTGCATGTCCTCGCGGGGGTCACCAGGGAAGCCCGCCTCCTCCGGGGCCTGGACCCCCTCCGGGAGCATCGTGGCGCGTGCTTTCCTCTTCTCTTTAAAGCGGCCTGAGCGTGAGATCTTCAAATTGCGCCGGCTGTTGGCGGATTTCTCCGCGCACGCCTTGTCTGGTTTGTGCGGCTCGCCCGCGCCCCCCAGGGGATTGGGGTGCTGGTTCTCTTGGGAGCTGCTCGTGTCGGGGCTGGGCGCTGAGGCCGCCACAGGCTCTCCCGGGGCGGGCTGGCCTGGCAGCTGCGCCCCCGCAGTGACCTCCTTGCTTTTCTTCCTGCTGTTGGTTAGCGATTTCCACCAGGGTCCCCCACCGCCGGTGCCGCCGCTGTCCGCCAGGGCCCGGGGCGCCCGGGTGGGGAAGGGCCTCCAGGCGCCGGTCTCTCTCTCCTCTCGGTCTCTGCGGTTCTCTCCGCCCTCCCCAGGCTTCTCCCACGCGGGCCGCCCTGTGCCGGGAAGAAAACAAGCCGTGGTTACTGAGCTGGCCCAAGTCACGTGCCCCCATCGCGTTTCCTCCCCTGCGCTCTGCGGGCTCTGGATCGCCGGGGTCAGAGCGTCTGCAGCGGAGCCTGGAGCCCAGAGCAGCGCAGCCCCAGTGGACAGGCGCGTGACCTCCACGGCGCCGCCACTGGTGTCCAGGCTGAGCCTTGGAACTCCAGGCCTCAACCTTTGCCTTGTCTCCACGGGAAGTGCAGTGGTCAGTGCGCCAGGGCTCCCCGGGCATCTGGATCCACCGGACTTGAGAGGGGAAGTGTTCTGCCCTGTCTACACAGCCTGAGGAGGTGGTCGCCCAAAGGTGACTCATCCGCCCCAACACAGCCTCCCTTCGGAGGAGCACCTGGGACAGAGGCTCTCGGGGATCAGTGAGTGTTAGACCGCCATCACTCAGCCACACGGTAGCAGAATTGATAGTCTAGCGAGCGAGGGACAAGTTCATGCCGCTTTGGGTTGTTTCCTTTTAATTCTGCGTTTAGCCACTTCTGCCTTGTGACTTCTACAGAAGCATGTCTGGACGTAACTTCTCTGGAAAACGGTCATCCTACGCTTCCTCTTAGTCCCCAGAGGGCGAGCATGCTACCAAGCCACATCCCTGCCCACTGTAGAGATGAAGTCAAGTGGCAAATGTGTCCCCTTAGTTTTGCATTAAAATACGCGCCGAGCCTGTACCACTTGGCAACTCAGTCCGGGATCTTTTAGTTACAAATGAAAGGCTTTTGATTCTTTTCCTTGTGCCAATTCCCTCCTCCGAAGGAGAGAGCGCGCAACCAAGAACTCCCAAACCGTTTACCCCTTCCCGGAGCTGTTCCTACCCCCTGTGCGGAGCGGAGAGGCTGCTTGTTAACACTGAGCTGCCGAAGTCGGACGGAGACTTCGCACCCACTTTCTCTGCGGGTTCTGCCCCGCACCGCAAACGCGGAGGATTCACTGGCTCGCAGGCGCGTTTCCAGGTTTCGGCTCCGCGGTTTCCCAGCCCAAGCGCGCCGGAGCTTTCCGGATTCGCGAGCGCGCGGGAAAGGGACAGTTTAGCAGTGTTCGCTGTTGGAGGTTCTCCTCCCGGAACCGCCAGGGAGAGGAAGTCTGAGCGCCTACCCGAGGCGGCGCGGCGGCCTAGGCTGCGCCCTGAAATCGCAGCGGCGGTTCCTCCCAGGACGGCCTAAGGGCACACTCGGGCTGCTACATGAAAACAGAAAATGAACCAGGGCCAAAAGTTCTATCGGTGCAGAAGGCACCCACCCCGTCAGACACACTTGGCTGCTGGG